TTCTCTCTCTCCGGGGTTAAAGGTGCTGAGTATGGTACCCAACCCAAGCGCCCCCCCCTCCCGCCCCGTGCCCAGGAGTCACTTACTCTGAGCGACTGCTTCTGTGTAAGAAAAATATCTCAGTAAAAAACAACAGACGAGCCCCTGAAACACAGCGCGTGTGAACAGCCCCGGGCCCGGGCTGCTCCCCCTCCAGCCGGGACCTCTCTGCTGCGGGCCACTCCATGCAGCGCAGATCCGCAGCGGGTGCGGGGGCACGGCCAGCTGTTAGAGCCCCATGAACAGGCGGCAGGACAGGCCCAAGGCAGAGGGGCGAGGGTGTGGCGGGCCCGGGCTGGGAGGCTGAAGCACATCTGGCTTCTTTGCCGACCGCGCAGAGGGCCTGGGGCAGCTCTGGCCATGAGCAAAGATCCCGACTAAGGGCCTGCGAGGTTCCTCTGTCCCCTGGGACCATCACTGCCTGGCATCCCCCCGCAGCGGCGGTGCCATCGTGGGGTTGGCAAGGAAGGGCAGTGCGGGCGCATGGCAAAGGCCCATCCAATCCCATCTCCTGCCCTGGCCTGGGGGCAGCGCAGGAGTCCAGAGATGCCTCCTCGCTGCTGAGGGAACCCAGCAGGGAGCCTGGCAGGGAAGGCCTGGGGATCGCCGGTGCAGGCCGGGAGGCCAGGGGCTGTGGGAGTGGGACGGGCAATAGGAAAGAAATGCATTTAACAAAGAAGCAAGTTGCTATATTGTGGCTTGCGTGAACAACACACCTCTGCTCTCCCGCGTGTCCCACGGTAGCTCTGAACTAAGGGAAGGGTGGGTGCAAACACCAGCCAAACCTCCCCATGCCCTCTGCCACCTTGGGGCGGCTGGGAATTGCCAGCCCCAAAGCTGACCTGGGCGGGCCAGGAGACACATGCGGCCCCTCCCTCCGTGAGAAGGCGCTGCGGTGCGGGCGGCGAGGACACCTGGAGCAGGTGCTTGGCACTCAAGCGGCAGGGCCCTGTCCTCGCACGGCTGTGGGCATCTTACATCAGCGACACCCGTGAGAATGGCAGGAGGGAGGGTGCAGGGCTCTGAGCCTCAGCTGGGCTGGGACTCCCCGGAGAGACGCCGAGGCTCAGGATCGGGCCCGCAGACCGGTGTGTCGATTGCTCTCTGGCTGGCTAGGAGCCTCCTTGCTCCGTCCCCTCTCTGTGGCATCAGCACATCCTCTAGCCTTCCTGAAACAGCCACAGCCACACCCTGGGCCCCCCGCACCCCCCGCCTGCACCCTCCCCTGGCCAGTGAGTGGGCATCTCGCGGCTGCTGATGCCACCCAA